TAAGCTTTCTGTTTCAAATATGTTACCACTTTACAAAGTATTTTTTGGCAATACTTTTCATGAAAATAACTGCTCTGAATCACTGAAAGTTGTGCTGCCTCTGACTGACAAGATAGTGATTTGCCTAGATATTTATTAAAACTTTAGAGAAAATTGCTCATAGACTACACTTTTGGAGAGAGAAATCCTCAATACAAAAATAAATAGCATTTGAATACTTTGAAAAAAAATATTTATCTGGAGTAACAACAATAATAAAAATATTCCTTGTTTCTCTAACTGGAAAATACACAGCCAAAATCAGAAAACTCTAGCCAGGTAGGAAAATCTGTTAGAGGCATCGTCTGTCTCCTCCTACGTGGTATTAAAAGGAATTCCCTAATTATCACTGGTTATATTGAAAATATTTATCTCTCTTCTAATTATCTGAGTCTCTAGGTAGTATGTATATGCAAAGGATGGATAAAGAATTTCAAATACTCAGCTTCTTTCTGCAAGTGTTACTAACAACCACAAATCTGAGTCCAATACTAACTGCTTGAAGGAATGATAATGAAGAAGAAGAGACGAGATGGGCAGAATAGAAAGGACAAAGAAAAAAAGACAATAATAAAAAATACTCTAACAAAACAACACTCAAAATTATTAACAGCCAAACCCCCCACACCTCAACCCACCAATGTGAAAAAATAGCAAAAAAACCCAACAAAACCAAAAATAACAAAATAAGAAGGCATGTGTTCCCAGTGCTGAAAGAATCCCATGAAAACTGTAAATGACAAAGAAATATGATGTCTTTTTCAGTTTTTCTTGAGAGAACTGTACAGGAAGAAGATCCATTTTCACCTGAAATCAGACTTTTGGCAGCTCATGTGGAATCTGAACTATGTAACTGGGTCTTTGCCAGAGATTTCCTAGGTTCTTGTGGAGTCCCTTGATTTTACACACAGTTTCCCTACACCTGATAGTAAGAGAGCCTCTCTGTTTATTGAATGTGATATGAAAGCTGTTTTCCTTCCTCTGATGGTCTTTCTAGAATTGTTGAAGGAAGTATTACTACTTTAAATATCTCTTTTCATTTATATTTTCTTATTTTACTGCTGCTCAAACATTCACCGCAAGTCTTTTTCTGCTTCCTTGGAGGCTAACTTTCAAGCAGGCTGATAAACCACAGTACACAACAACATAAATTTCATAGCATACTCAGTTGCCAGCATCCAAAATCCACATGTAGATATGTGCGTGACAGTTGACTACAAGAAGTAATAGCCCTATGGTGTAGTGAAAATCACCAGAGCTGATGAGTTCCACGTATTTAATCGAAGATGAATGTAGGGTATTTTCTCTTTTTTTGAGTAATGGGAACTGGGCTTGCAATTCATAACAAGTTAATTTTTTGTATATAGGGGCTGTGAGGCTGAGAAAACTGGAAAAATGGATCTGAGTCTTCCTAATAAAAAATGGCTTAAGGTTATTATTACCTCTCAGAAGAACATGTAAGAAGGCAAAACAGCAATATTCTCTGGCATTCAGCTCATGGTTTTGATTTAGAGCCTTTGTCCATGTTATGTGCAAATCCACTATCAGAAATAAGCTCTCTCATTGCTTGAAGCACTGAAGATATTTATCTTGATTTAAGTTTTTTAAGGCCTAAAGTCTTGATGGCAAGTACATAACACTGTGTGGGGGAGAATTATGTAAAAGTATAGTCCTTTCTTGTAATTTCTGTAGGTTTTGGCCAATTTCAACCAAATTTGTTGAAGAATGGTTTCAATAACATCATACCTTACTAGACACCTGAGAACCCCTACAAAAGATAGCAGCATCTGCACAAAGACAGCAACTAGGCAGTGGGTATGGATATGCCAGTACCCCATTTATATTTTCTTGTGCAGAGGACCAAAGGATATAAGTCTTTCTTGTACATGGTAGATCAGGTAATTCTCAAATGAACTCAGAAAAAGCATTATCCCTAATGCTCCAGTGAATAATCCAACTAGTCATTGCCACAGGTTAGGAATAAACTTCTATTTTATTCTGTTGCTATGTCAAGTCATCTGAGATGCTCGAGGCAATTTATTCCTTAGAGCTTAAATTCACAAAGGTTAATATCAATACGATTTAGGCATCCAAACAGTTTTGGCAATGTGGGCACAAATATGAGTTGCTTATTTTTGTCATTTGTTGGAAATCTGACATAGTCCACTATTAGAAACATGATACTGAATTAAATGAGCCAGTGGTCTTGAAATCAAGGTTTTTTCCTCTGTGCCTTTCTCTCATTTTAGCATGTGTGAAAATCTGACAAGATTACCAGTGGGAAGAAGTTAAATAACAGAATGCCAGGAACTTTTAAACCCCTCTGTTTCTGCTGTAAAACTACTAATAGTGGAGAGGGCATTTAATTCTAAGCATTTACACCCTTGGGAAATATTATTTTAAAGTGATGAATTATTTGAAATTAGTTACCTTATGAACATATTTAAAACTTTTTGAATACAAGTATAAGCATTCTTTCCCCTCTGAATTGCACCTCAATCTCACATTATTGTTCTTAGTTCTTTACATAGTATTTTGGTTCAGCTATACACATGTTCTACAGAACAAAGAAGAGATGATTGTATCATGTCTTACTAAATGCTAACAATAAATACCGACACACCTATCATTCTCTTTAGGTCTAAAGTGGAGTTCCTGCCTCACATAAGCAGATATTTGGCCCCAAACCCATTGTATGACCAAAAGTTCTGAGCTGCCTTACTGTCTTTCCCCAGTCATAGCATTTAATCTATTCACACTGGAGCTGTTTATGTTTTTCAAGTTCTCTTGTGTATGTGGATCCAGACAGGAAAGAAAAACTAGTGTGTGCAACATAAGTGGCTGGTGTCAAACTTGAATAAGGACCTACAAAGTCTGGAACTGGAAGAATTTCAGAGGCTTTCAAGGCACTACAAATTTGCATGCAATACTGTCACACCGGTTTGAATGATAAACATACTCACAAAATTGTGGTGTCTTCACAAATAATCTGTGAATTCAAAACTGCCAGTATAATTAAAAATCATAGAATTTACACAGAATTATTCCACATAGACTTTTTCTGTAGCTCTTATCTGTTTTGAAAATTGTGTTTGAAAAGATTAAGTAAATACCTATGATTCAACTATTAGCTAAATTGTCTAATACTTTGTGAGAACAAATCTCAACTTATGGATTTTTCATATTCAGAGTGCATATTTGGTTTGGACATCCTTTTAGCTTCTGAAGTCTTTTGTGTTGGTCTTGTACACAGGGACTCTGTCATTGCACTTTGCTTTGTTTTTTTTTAAGCCTCAGGTAAAACACATTTGTAATCAAAAGTGGCAGGAAATGAATAAAGAGAGGAAGGGATTCTATAAACAATTTTTTCTTCTCCTCATATTGCACTCAAGAAAGGGAATGACGCTTGGAATACAGATATAAATACTTGGATTAAATCCTGAAAGAAGAAATAAAAAAGACCATCATACCAAAAAAATGAAAGCGCCTTAATCCAACTACTTCCCATTGATGGCATAAATTGGAGGGGCAGATGGAAAGTAAGGAAAAGGGTGTTACTGTAAAACAATCATCAGTTTTGTGAGTTTGTTGAGGTTTTTTTATCCCAAGAAAATGGTTAGAAATCTGCAAAGATTTTATGTAGCTTTTGGTCTTTAGCTTAAATGTTTTTAATTGTACAGGCTTTCATATTCATAAGTAGAAAAATAAACATAACTGCTCCTCTGTTTCTGAATTACCAGTGCTCATTCATTTATTCATTCTTGCATATCCTTCAAGGCCCTGCTTTAAGCAGTAAACTAAGAGGAATGCAAGATGGATTTACCATCAATAAAAATAAAGAGTTAGAAAGTCTGACAGGCAACTACTGCATCAGAGGAATATGCGATCAAGAACATTTTCCTACAGCTTGGTACATGGACTGCAGATTCAAAATAAAATGGGCAACCAAAACGAGTCAGTTCTTTACTCTCACCTGAGCCAGACACAGACATCCAGTGTTAGCAAAGACCAATTACACAATGCCCAAGAACCTTCAGCAGTGTTGCAAAGACCAGTGCATTATAGCTCAGAGAGAGCAAAACAGGAATAGCAGTTCAGAAATGGAGAAGTCCCTGTGGGAAGACCTGGAAAACTTCAGCAGTTTCAGGATTTTTTTTGTCTAGAGAAAAATTTATCCATAGAAGATTTATGTAGGTAGTCACTGGGTAGCTTCAAATAATAGAGCGTATGCAATAATTTGTGTCAGCAACACAAACACTTCAAGATGCTTGTTAGAACAAATCTTTCTCTCATATAGTTGTGTCACATCTGTGCTGCTTACCACCTACTTCCTAATCCCACACAGATTTATAGGTGACTAATGGGCTATTTGTCTAACCATAGGAAATGGAGACAGTCTGGTGTACAGAAAAATAAACAAAAAATTCTTCATGTGGGAATATCAGCATGGAATTGTTATGAGCTAAATAGTAGTGAAAAAAGCCACAATATAGAGAAATCGGCAGATTCTGAGATTTTTAAGCACTAATAGTGAATATATACTTCATAATCACTGCATATAAAGGTGAAATGCATCCAAAAATTTGTCTCACATGCTGCTTTTTGTGTGTGACTGCACAACATAGCTGCTGGTCACCTGTGTTTGCATTCAGAGAATTACAATTTTTACTGTGTGATATATGTATCACACAGAGATAAGAAGAGAGTAAACAGTGGGGAAAAAAATAAACACTGATGAAGAGAAGAAAATTAAGAAATCTGATATAAATTTCATTATATTGTGACTTTTGATGTTTTGCTTTTCAGATTCTTGATGGGAATTCCTAATTCTAGCAGGAGTACTTAGTATTCAATTGCTTAATAAAACCCCGACAAATATCTTCTGTTGAGATTAACAGCCTTATTTCCATCATGAGTGAATTTTAGATGAAAGTAATTGTCATTTGTACAGGTTTACATACCAGTTCCCCATCTTCCAGTTCTGAGCAGGGGAAGATATCTTGGAGAAAAGGAAAGTGTATGCTGCTTCTATATCCTTACCAGCTCACCCAAACATCTCTCCTAACAGAAAACACATTGATTACTTTCTAGAGAAGTAAAGAAAAAAATTAATATGACCTTTTTTCCCTAAGACTCAGTAGAGATGCTTTGGACCCGCAATGATCCTATAGTGCTGCCTCCAACAGTTATTGAAATTCAGTCAATGGTTTACCACAATGAAATAAAGTCCTTGCCACATACTACTTAGACATCAATAACAGATCTGGTCATGCTTTGTCAAGCTGTTGCAATCAGATTTTAAAATGCACTGATTTACACTTTTTCATTAACTGTTTATGATGTAGAACAGCTAAGGAATAGCTGTAACTCATTAAACCACTTTAACTCAGTGATGTCTGATTCCTGGAAAAAAAAAAAAATCCATTTGAGCTTCTGTAGTTTACTACATAATAAAGTTGAAGAAGTCCTCAGATAATTTTGAGGAGTAGCTGAAATGAGATGCAGTTGTCACTTTAATGTTTCTTGGCAATAAAATCACATCAGAACAGTACGTGATTCTATTTCTGGTTGTAAGAAATAAAAACAGTTGCAGAATACCAAAAGAATGCTGAGTCAGGGCCAAGGCTGAAAATCACTGCTTTCTCATGCTTAAGCATGAGTGTAGGCTTGGTAGGTTTGGGATCAAAATCAGTGTGATTAAATGGAAACTGTTGAAGTCAGAATTAATGTGAAAGATTACCTGTGAAAGATTAGGTTAATTACCTAATCCAGAATTCTGATGTGCCTGGAGAGAAATGTCCTCATCTGACTTCAGGTTCTATTAGTAGGAAACTTTGAGCCCATTTAGTTACTTTGGCTTCCAGATTTTAATGTGACCTGTTTGTAACCAAGATATAGAACAGAGAAAAAATGACAACTTGGCACAGAGCAGAGTCAAATGAAGTTCAGATATCTACTGTTTGAAAACAAAACATTAATGCAAATTAAATCAAGTCATTCCTAGGATAAAGACAAATTTTAAAAAGTTTCTAATAGTTCAATTAAATTAAATGTTATTATAAAAAATCATAATAAATATAAGGCATTTCCAAAAAAGAAGCAGCTAAATTTAAGCATTGTTTTATTCTATTCAAATTACTGTTTGCACAGGCATATGGCACATCTGTGTTCCATTATCTTTATTTACCAGGAAGAGTAAATATTACTTCTTTTACCTTCCCCATCTTTTCTATTTGGAGGTCACCTTTTCCAAAGATGCTGGATGTCAAAGGGCAGTGAAGACTGCTCAGTACCTTGTCAGTACATTCACCTCCTATACTATTTATTTTCTAGCTATCACTGCATTTGGCTAAGAGCCAATTTAGCAAGGAAAGCCAGTGTTCATGCCAGGGCTGATCTGTCAAAACAGGCATGTAACTGAGCTGATTGCATGGGCCTTCTTGTGCCAGCTTTGCTCCTGAAGCCAGTTTTTCACTGTCTCCTTTGGAGTGTTGAGCAAAACACTGTCTATATGAGTATGAATTCACTTAGGAAGACCTCATATGCCATGCACAAATCTGACATGTGGGCCTGGGGGTCAGAGGACATGTTACAAGGATTTCTGCCAGGTGTGCAACTTGTCACTGGAAATAAAACTTCCTGTTTGCTAATGTCTAGCAAAGTACTTCCAGTAAACCCAGGTGGAATAGTGTGGCCAGTATTAAAACTGTCTCTGCTATTAACTTGTTGCTTGTATTTCTGTATCTGTTAATGAGAAAATAGAATTTTATCTGTTTGACTAGCAGTCAATAAAAGAAAATATTCAGTTCTCTTGAAATACCATTCTTTTTCCAGCTTGCTGGACTATATAAAGTCTCAAATTTAATTGTTTAGGGGGGTTTGTTTCACATCCTAAGTAGTCTAACGGAACTAATCTCAGAAAATTTTGGAAAGATGGGTGGAATATAACCTTGTTTAAAAAAAGAAACCTAACACTTATTTTATTCATATATTCTGACTCCAGAGTTCAAAAATATCACAATTTTAATTGGTGATGGGGGAGAAAGATACATGAACACTTTGAAAAACTGGATTTTCAGCCATTAGGTAAAACTCTTACTACCTACCATGCCTCAGTATTTTCCCCTTAATTTAGTCTTTCCCTCCTGGCTGTGAGCAATAAGTTGATGACCAAATACCATTAGATACTTTGCTAACATTTTATCACTGGCTCTCATTAGTAAAAGAGAGTAGGATCTCTGGACTATTGCATGTAAACAGCTGTTCCTTTAGCGCTGCCTTAAATTAAGCTCTCTCCAGACACCCCAGCTAGACTGCTTGCAGAGGTAACCCAATAAAACCTCAGCACTGATTGCCTGCCCCAGATGAATGACATATAGGTATATGTATACCTATATGTGTCAGGAATCAGCCCAGGCTCCTAAACGGCACAGAAACTTCTTCCCAGTCATTTTTCTGCCATGACTGAACCCACTTTGCCTCTGGCAGAATGCAGTCCTATTTTAGATGATTTTGGGCCTGTGGAATACGTGTATCTTACAATTCAGTAGTGAATAAAGGTATTGTGTCTATTCCTCTGAAACAGAAGATTTTCCCCTCGTTTTTTTCAGGACATTCTGACTAGTGTCAGTAAAATACACCTAAAATATGGATAACATGTATTTTCTCTTTCAGTACACTTATTAAATCAAGTGGCAGTGTTTTTTATTTCAATGAGCAATTGGAGTATTCAAAAGTGAAGGTCAGAGCCAAGGGTGACTGCGAGGGAGAGGCACAGTCCCAACCAAGAGCAGCATAGGTCTGCTGGCCATACTCTGCGTCAGCCAAAAGTCTGCTGGTTACCAAATGGGTCAGTAGTGCTGAGTCAGAGTCAAATCAAGACAAGTTTGGACACAGCATACTTACATTGTTGTTCAACAAGGGCTGTGGAGCAGAACCTGAGCTCAAATCAATTATGGGCCCAAAGCAAAGAGGGTGTGTGGATGGGAGCCAGAAATGAGACTGAGGAGGATGATGCTGGTGCAGTCAGAGGCCTAATCTTTCCCTCCTGTAGAGCTCTATAGATCTTGCATCAGGGTGTCACTCTTATCTCTACCTCAATAGGCAGAGTCAACAGCAAGCTTTGTCCTCTCAAATCTATTTTTTTTTAGACAAATCACATTCACAAAGAAATCTGTGGGGACATTCTAATTCTTCACAGTGTCTGTTCTAATGTCTAACCAGACCTGATCTCATTTTTGGATTTAGTTTTCAACTGCATTTCAGAGGAGTTTAAAACACATCGATCTTTTAGTTTTAGTATTTCAATTACATAAATGCAGTGTCTGGAAAGCTGATAGGAACATATATAGATCTATTTGAGTTCCAGCCAATTCATGTATGCAATTTTGGCATTTTGCAATGGATTTTGCTAAGCACTTTAACTTGTCTACACAATTTGAGAACTGTTTTAGAGCAGCATATTAAACGAGGCATGTGAAAAATACTACATGGGTAATCAATGGGACTGAGTCATCATATTGAAAACTTATATTCTGCAGAATTGTTTATCTTTCAGATGAAGGCCTACACAACTATGTGTAAACCAGATTTTAAGGGAATAAAACCAAAACTAAAAATTTTCTCTTTTTTCCTTGCACTGCTTATTCAATTCTGTATTCTCAGTCTATTTTGCTATAACTCTATATTGTCTGTCTTATTCTCACTTAACAACATGATCATGATTGTTTCTTCCAAAGCCCATCACATTGTCACCAGTATATAAGAGGATTTTTTTTTTTTTTCCCAGTGGCTGTTTCTTTGTACTTTTCCATTCTTAATGGCAAGTTTGTCATCTCATTTCCTTTCAGTACTAAGGAAGGTTTATTATATGTATCAGTACCTATGAGATTGACATCTCTTCTATGAAAATATTTATGCATAGTTCCAGTCAGGTGGTTGTTGGCTCCTGGTAGACTGGTATGATAAGGCCTCCAGTGGAAAAGGAAGAAGATTTGGTACACACAGAGGTTACTATGTTTTAAAACCAGCTAAGAAACACTGTTGCTCGAGGCAGTAGGAGAAGCAAGTACCATACTGTTTTTGAAAGTCTGTTTATCTTTGCATTTCTTGACATGAAAACATCACTTTGAGCTATCTGTCCATACAAGGTCAGAAAGAAATTTGAATCCAATGGTATCAAACTAAAGGATAAGTGTCTCCATTATGACCTGTTACTTGCATTGCTGGTAATGGAAAAGAAAGGAAGCAGTAAAAAGTCTGGCTACATTGTCTGCTTTACATTGGCTCAAATTAACAGATTCAGCATAAACTGGAAATGGTCCATGAGGGTGGAATTTTTACATTAAATGTAATTCTCTGCATCTGAGTTAAGTACATGTTTAGGCAAAAGGAAGCCATTCGGTATCCTATAAGTAGCTTAAGGTAGTGAGACTGTACACATTCAAAGTAAGGGAAAATTAATCCTAATGAAAAGATTATCATGCCTACCTGGATGTGATCAGAGAGCAGGCAAAACACACAGCTTTTCCTTCCTCTGTACTAATGGTGAGTGCCTCGTCTGGGGTTTACAGGCATTACCTGTTCCAAGAAACTGAAAGCTTTAAGCTGGAACAGCTCACTGACAGTTCACTGAAGTGAACTAAAATTCCTGTTTTAAGGCACACTTAGTTTATTTTGCACTAACTACTCAAACTTCCTGCACAGGCACAATAAATATTTTTTTTTTTTTTTATTTCAGAAGGACTTTTACCTGAATATGTGATGGCGACAGGTGTTGACTAGAAAAGTATATAATTAAAGATACAGAAAAATACAGATATATTAAAAAAAGTTTAGTTACAAGTCTAATATTTATATAACTAATAAAAAAATCACAAGAAACAAGTTAATTTCAAAATCCATAGAATGACTGGTATCTCAGTTCTTCTCTGCTATACTGATGCACACAATATTGTTCCATAGTGCTTAATCAGGACCTAAACCCATGAATATGACTATCCAATTTATCAAATATATGCACAAATTAAATAGTTAAAAATACATCTGAGGCTTAAGTTTGGCTTTTTTATTGTATTTCCAAAGTTCTTTGCTAAAAATAAGAGAGAACATAGTTTGAAAACTTTTATGCTAAGCTTTGGAAGAAAAGATGATCTGCCTTTCATCCAGCCTTCACAAGCATGTTTCTCATCGTTATTATTGTCAAGATTATAAATGCAATTCTTGATTTCAAACCAATTTGTCAGCAGGAAGCCTCCTCAGGAACGACATGTAGCAACACCTGCTGAGCCAATTGGCCCAGTAAGATAATAAGCCAGTCAAAAACTAAAATAAAAAAAGAGATCAACTAAAACTATTGACTATTTCATTCATTTCTTACTTTGAGGATCTCTAATAATGATTTTTCAAGTAGAAGGGGTGTATAATGCTGAAAATGTTGAAACTATTTGAGGGAAGTGTTGCCTAGTTGGGTCATATATTTAAAATGCCTAATATATTTGTCCCTACATTTGCCCTGTGACTACAAAACAGAAAGGGAAAAGAATCTCTGTTTTACTGTTCTTTGTGTAATATATATACTCTGAAACAAGACAGGGCAGCATATGAAAAAGTGAATAACCAATGCACACACTCACACTCCCTGGAAGTACTGGTAACCTCTAGGTAAGACTAACAGTATGCTGGTGACATCGTATAGCTGCCCTCAACGTTCAAGCTCATGTATGGGGTGATGTAGACTTTATTTACCCTTTAAAGAAGTGGGTTACTTTGAGAGAACTCTTATTTCCAGATAATTTGGTTCATTAGAGAAGATTTTCATGATATACCAGCATAGAATGAAGGTTTGACCATCTTCATAAGAGGTTTGGCATCATCTTACTTGAGGCAGGAGAAAGGGGAAATGGTTTTCTCAAAGGTGTCTGTGCAGTGTTTTGTAAATTTTTTTATTTACCTTGGGAGAAACTCTAACTTGTTGGGCTCAGACTTCTATAACAAGAAGCAGTGCAGTTAATTCTGTCCTCAGCCTAACCAAGTCTGCCTCAAATATTGGTTTTGACCATGTCAGGAAACTGTTAACCCCTTAGAGACTGAGCCTATATGTGAGAAAAATAATTTTCTCTAAAATTAGTTCATCTCTTTGATTGAAAATCACTCTTCTCACAACACAAAAAAGAAGAAAGACAAAAGTGCTACTTTTACCACTGTAAATGAAGCAGAAAAGATATTTTCATTTAGTCATTTAGTTGGCTTGTATTACACCTTTTTTCCTATAGTAGTAATTTGATGGAGAAATAAAATGAAATTAAATCTGAAATTGTTATTGATTAAGATCCACCACTTATAGCATAAACATACATAAAGTTTGACTATATAAATAAGATTGTAGCAGCCATGTCTTTTATGACCACAACAGCAAACTATACCCCGCTTTGTAAGCTCAGACAATGCTGGAAGCGGAAATAGAAAATAGTTGATAAAAAATATTAAACCCTTGAGTATCTAAACCCTGCATCACTTGTACTGTTTACACATTAGAGCAAAATTATTTGTCATTTTTTTGAGTTCAAAGTTATGCTTCTGACATTTAAGTGTGTGTTACAAATCTATAAACCAATCCCCTCATTCTAACTATTTGAGAAAGGTTTCAGAGCTAATTGAAGTGTCTCTGTCATTTCTCTGTGTGTTTTTCAGTATCAAGGGCTATAATATGTCAAAGGAAATGCTTTTGTTGAACAGAGCAATTTTTTAAAGTGCTTTTAATTAACATTCATTTCCAGGTTGAGTTTGAGTGCTTAAAGACACTTTTGTTAAGCATTTCTAAGTATTCTTCAGTAACAGTCAAGTGAGAAGTGACTCTTAACAAACGTAAAAGGAGCTTTGGTGAAGGAAAGCAGAAATATCTTTTCATTGCTTATAGAATTCCTTGTTTTGTCTGAAATTTGACATAAGTATCTTTTTTCTTCTTCTTCATGGTTGTCACAGAGTGCAGTTCTATGGTTTGTACAAGCACAAAACGTACTGTGGGACTTGGAAACCTGCCTGATGTGGAGACTAATGTGGTATTAACTGTTGAGAAAAAAACAAGCAAACAAGTACATATAGGTGCTGCCAGATCCATTACTACTTATGCACGTGTTGTGCATTTTATAATTTCAGATTAAAATAATGTAAAGGTCTCTCAAAATGCATAATACCAACTTGCTCTGTGAACACAGTGTTTGTAAATCAGCTAAACCTAGTGGCAGTTTCTAATGCACTTAGTCTTTGGGTATGTATATGCCTTTACACAAAATAATTCCCTCTTCCCTGCTCTTCCAATCTACTCACTGCACAGTTTTAGCATGACTATAATCAAGATTTCAAATATGCTCTTGCATAAACAGAGACCTAGAAGAGGGTATAATAGAGCCTTCAAAAGCAACATTTGAAACACAATCATAGTATGAAATTGCACATCTTTGTATTAATAAAATTCAACCCAGAGATAATTGGTCTGAATACCTCGTTATCCACAATACATTATACAGGAAATCTCAATATTTAGTATGGTTTCGTTTTCCAAGATTAAATTTATAAAAGCCCACTGCATCAGCAATGGAAACAATTCCACCCACATGAGGATCACCCTTGAAACTGAAGAGCAACCAACCATCACAACGTTTCTCAGTTGCTTCCTTACTCTTAAGATCTTGTACAGCTGTCTGAATTCAAACCATTCTTTTCTGCTATTTTCTGTTTTATTGAATTTCACCCAAGAGAGAAGTGATTCACAGAAGTTATCCTGCGTGTGGCTTTAGGCACATATGTATTGTACAATGAAAGGAGAACAATATACAACAGAAAGAGAAATCCTGTTATGGACCAAATTGCTTTTTCTAGATCATATTGAACATATCCTTATATGGAAAACAGCTGAAAACCAGTAGAACAATTCCCATGAAGAGCTGTTACCTTGTGAGAGAAAAGACACCATAGTTCAGCTACTAGATTTATAAAGCACTGTCTTGTAACTTTGATTATTTTTTTTTTTTTGAGGGGGGTGGTGTTGAGGTGAGGTTCCTTTGTTTCTTTTTTTTGTTTTTGTTTTTCCTTCATTTATTTCTTGCCAAACCAACATTTTATGTCTAGTGCCTATCTCACCATTCTAGACATCAATAGCACATCTTATCTACATCCTAAACTGTTTTCTAAAGTACTTCTGGTCACCTCAGAAAACTTCAGTTGCTGGAACATTATGATTCCTGCTTTCTGAGCTTCACATATCATCTGTCACTCAGATCACCTTCATCATATTTGTTTTCACTTTCTTTTCTCTCACTGAGAGGAGCACAGAATGACCTTGTAGAGGTCTTATACAAATTAATGTTTAATTTAGGTCTGAGAATATTTTTGTTGAAGTCATATGAAGAGAATAACGCAGCTGATCCTTCAACTCGTCTTTTGAAAAATATATTGAATACCTAAATTTAGCAACACAAACACAAAACTGAATGTTTATTCTTACATAACAGCCATGCAATACTGTATTTTACAGTGCTGTAATGCATTTGCTATTGTCTGCCAAAATGCTATGGAAATACATATCTTTGTTCAGTATGTTGAAAGACCACTAAAAGTGACAGAGAAAGGTATAACTAAACATCCTGTGCTTGAAAATATTTGGCTGGATTTTTAGATGGAGCTTTAAATTTGGACCCTTTGATTCTCGAAATGATGGGAAAAACCATCCTGCTTATTTGTTATTTGATTTCTTGTAGGTAATGAGAATAAAGAAAAACTACTGTTTGCTCCCACAAAAGCACCAAGAAGTCTCAGCATATGGACTTCATGCAAGGTAGTTTTCTCCTTTCTTTCCCTTGGGATGATTTCTGTATTACACAGGAGGGGAAGATTGGAGAGATCATATTTTCTCTCATCAACATTTGTTTCAATTCTCCAATTCCATTCCCAATTGCTCTTCTCCCTGACTGATGCATAACATCACAGCTGACAAGATAGAAACAATTTCCTCATGGAAAAAATTCATGAAACCTACATCTCCTCCTGTAGGTCTGTAGGTGTTCTCTTTTCTCTTCCTACATACACTATGGAAACCATCATTCTATTTAACACTTAATATTGAATCAAAGCCCAGAGATTTTAAAACTTTAAACTACTGTGCACCATCTACAGACAGACCCTTTGAAACTGTATGGGATTCAGATGGAACTGTAAACAATATGTGAAATATTTTCCAAGACAGAGAAATCCTATTATTAAATTTAGAGCTAATCAAATATCATATGTCAGTATGAAACAATCAAGACAGCACCTTACAGGCATCTGCCAGTTTGCTTTAAATATCTGATCACAGCAAAGGCCAGCACAATTGATGGGATAGTTATCTGCTACTGAACTTTAGTGCACAGAAATAAATTCATTTTCATCCAACAGTCATCAGCTACATGAACTCTGCCTTAACCTCTCCTAGCATGTGGTAGTTCAGTTTCCCAGAAGCCGCATCCAAACCTTTTACAAAACTATGCGCAATTCCACAAGGGACTGAAGTGTCACTTTCACAGATTTAATTTTTTCCTTAGGGTGACACCAGAGGAGTCATCTAGTTATGTCTTTCATATAAGAAACTATTGCAGAAATCTTCTGTTTCATAGCTGACACAACTGTGAGGATTTAGTGCAGGTATAACCATTACCCTTTATCAGAGGCAAGCAACCCTGATCCCCCTGGGTTTAAGCCCTTTAAACCTTGTGAAAGGAGGGCAGAGTTACACATTCCCTACAGCTGCTTCAAGGATCACCCAGCAACCATCTCAAATATTTCAAGACCTAAATCCAGTCTGAGAAGATCACTTGGCAACCTATGAAGTGTGCTGGAATTGCTTGAGTGCAGAGACTTGTCTGTAACAGTACAAATGTGCAGTTTCAATGTTATATATACATGCTATTTTTGTTCTCTGCCAAAACAATCATTCTGATCAAAGACTGCTAGTCCTGTAAATTTATGACATCCAATGTCGCTATTTTCACATTTAATACATGCCACTGTCAAATCACTATCTGAGAGTCTACTGGGGTAGATCAGGTAAAACCAGCAAATCACATTTTGGAATCATTCCAGCTAAACATACAAAACTAAGAATGTGGTTGTTATTCATGTTTTCATGTATGTACCTCCCCCAGAATCTTATCTTTACTGCTGCTAGGTAGCATCATGCTGTCAAGGCAGAAGGAAGCAATAATTATTACAACAGCAGTTTTCAGAGAAGCAGGGCTACTTCCTACGCTTGTCTAGTATCACACCCTGGTGTTTTCCAAATCCAGTTTCTTTGTTCTAAGAAGACATACTGGCAGTAGCTGTCTGAGAGGGTATTTGGCAACTTTGCATTGGAAGCCATCTTACCTTACCTACCTTCTACATCACACACCCCCTCAGTTTTATAAGATGACAACCAAAACTTTCACCCTTCTTGACACCAAGACTTTAAGAAAATCTTGACACTGCATGTCTCCACTGGGTATCCAACTCAAAGTACATATGTAGCATGCCTAGTGTGCACAAATAACTTAGCTACAGAAAGATGTATTTCTCAATACAACAAGCCCTTTAAACATCATACTTTGTGCTGTTTTCTAAAGTCTTCAGTCTGGAGAAAATTGCTAACACAGTGTTATGTTGAACAAATTGAATACCTTTGCCAGTGCCTGTGATTTCAGACAATGCAGTCTTCTAAGGTAAAAAATATATCTGTTTAGCTAAAAATAAACAATTACCTGTCCACTCACATGCATTGCAGTGAAGCCTCCTCTTAAAGCAAGTGCAGGCCTCTCTTTAAACAAACCACATTATTGCAAGGAAGAAAAATGTTTCTTCTAATGACTTTAACTATGAAACCATCAAATAAACAAGAAGCCAGTCCAAGACTGGCCTGTAGGTCCTGCACTTAGCTTTCAGAATTATCTGGAGAACATCAATTCCTTTGATGGCACAGCTTTCTTTTGTACTGCAGGCATCTTGTACACTTGAAGAGGTATAATTTCTTGACAGTTCTAAATATATCACAAGATTCTAATTTAGTCCACAACAGAATGACTAAAAACAACAAAAATTATCTCTCTGGGGTCATTATTGATTAAAGGAGAGAAGGGAGAGAAAAGGAGGAGGAATTTTAGTAACACCTGTGACATATAAACTTCAGTCAGCTAGAATCCCAAAACCACCCTAAAAACTTAAGGCAGAGACCGACTGCTGCAAAGCTACTATTCTATTTCATGACTAGAAGGTCTATCTACCATTAACATTTTAGCTACTGAAAACACAACATCCCTTTCCATTGGTAACCGGCAATAGTAATCCAATTTCTCCTCCCAAGAAGAGCTACAAATCCCTACAGACCTGGAAGGCTTGTACATGGGTGTACTACAGTGAACTGTCCCTGGAAATATGACATTGAGCTAAATATCTCAAAGACTTTATAGTTTTTTTGCCTCCAACCTGTCACATGACTATGCTTTGACACTTCATTCCTGTTTCTTTTGCCTTGGCTCTCTCCCTCTGTCTCTGTCCCATCCACCACATCACCCACAGCAAGCATCCTGTCCAGACTTAAAAACTGTTACAAAATAGGTGTTAGAAAACCAGAAACAATCACAAATTTTATATGTTAGAAAGCACTATATCTATCTCATGACAGTTAGAAGGTTTCAGGTAGAAACACATGAGTTGAGAAAGAAACGTCTCCTTTAGAAAATTCCTCAGCAAATGCACAAGATAACTTTTTCTCACCTTTGGCTTATGAGTTTACTACATTTGATGTAACAAATATAGTTTTGAAGTAAAGAATATAAATCTCAATATTCTTCTATTAAATCATGAAAGCACAGAAGCTCAGATCTTACATTTGCAGAGATATCAAGGCTTCAGATACAGTCACCAAAATTAAAATTTCCCCTGGTCCTTCTCTTTTCTGCAAATTTTGGAAAACATCCTTAATGTCACATTTAAGAGAGTGACAAATACAAGGTAAACATTATGTTTTTACTTGCTGCATTCTTCACATCATTTTGCTGAAGTAGAAATACTTGTGATTCCCTTCAAAGTTTCCTGTCTGAAAGTAGATAGAGGAAGGACAAACCAATGCTTTTCCCATTTTAGCCCACTGGAAAAAATATAGGAAGAAAAATTCAAACCTACAGTTTTCTTCATCTTTGGCAGTTGATGGAATAATTCAAGATGGAAATTCAAGTGTTGAATCCAAACTCTCATATCTGTATTTATGTTTTTGTACTAATAAAGTAAAATTTGCAATTTGCAGGCATTGCTTTTGTTGAGGGGAAAAATCTATTAAAGTACTTATCACTGCAATATATGAGTTGTCAGTCTTCTGTTTCTCTTGCTATACTCATCTGGTCAATCTTTCTGCCCATTAGCCCAGGACTGTGGACAGGCCATGCTGGACTGATGCTGTTTAACTCTGGGTTGCATATAGAGGAAGCTCTCAGTTCCCACTCAACCTTTTGTCCCTAAGATGTTAGTAAAGTTGTTCTTCCCTTCAGGTAACAACTTATTATTTCCAAATACCAGATGGAGAACTCAGGCATAAAGAGCACTGGGAACTTCCCCAAACCACAGAAGAAGCAGATACTAAAGCCAGTATCTGAGAAGTTCTGCATTAATAGATGGTTTATCCTTCCTCAATGTGTGTATGCAGGCATTCTGGTTTAGAGTGGCTCATTCCTCACCCTCTTTCTGCCTGAAACATCCAGTAAAAAGAGCAATCAATGATAAAACACGGACTCAAAATCTCAAGCAAGTATCAGATCAATGACAGTCTTCTGTGCCTTGAAAAAAATTTCATGGCAGTAGCATATCACTATCAGAAGGTGGTGTTCCTGGCCATGTTGCAGTAAGGAGCTGCCTGTGTCAAGCTAGGGAATATCATAGCTCCCAGAATCGAGAAACTAGACTGCAACACCTACTGCAGTAGTAACATTACTAGAGAAAAATCATAAACCTCAGAGCAAAACATTTGAGTGAGCTTTAAGTCAAGATTCCAAGCAAGTCCAAACTTTTTAATTTTTTTATATTGGAGATACCTAGAAATGTTATTTTAAAAATAAATGCAAACCAATAATATTTTAAATGTGACAGTGTGTTCTTGGAATCTTAATGCTTGCCTGCTTTTTCACTTTTCCATTTTAAGCTGACAGCCACTTTTTTCCTGAATGACTTCTAAAAATCAATGAGTAGCACTCAGATGTGGAAAAAGTAGATGTGTCATTCTTCCATTAGAAAATAATTCTGTCTTGTCAAAGGATTAATGCATTTTATTAAGAATGTACACATGTGTATGTATATATCATCAAATGAGTTAGCCTGATGTTGAAGAGAAAAATTACACAGTTGTTATTCTGACCTTGGAACATTTTTAAAGCACATCCATCCCCAAAGCACTGAACACAAACATTTAAAGCTCTCTTTCTTTTTTAAAAAGAAAATAATAAAAAACAACCACTTTGAAACACAATCCAATATAAATATGAAGAGTTGGACCAAAGAACATAGCATAACATAATGTATGCTTGTAACATCCAAGATCAAAGATGATGAAATTAGTTCTCCTTTATTCACAAATAACATGGCCTACTAGTAATTCACATGATGCTTTGACTAGAGTTTAGTCACTCTTGTTACAAAAAAAAAATGGGTTGTCCATTCAGATCTTAATTATTTAGGCAAAATTAAACTCCTCATTAAAACCACGGAAAAAGAAAAATGAAGTATATATACTTCATTTGAAGTATGAATTATGTAGTATACCTCCTATGAAGTACAGAAAAGCTGGATTATCATTATCTAGGGAGCTGCCTAGTTTTACAGAGGTTTATATCCACGTGTTCTGGGTTGATGTAATTCAATGAGCTTGCTGCTTTTCCTCTGAAAGGACAAGATCAGGGAATAACCAAGCTGGCATGACCCTTTTGAGGCAATAAACTGCTCACCTGAAGACTGATTACTTAAATCACACTAATAGTAGTAGTAGTAGTAGTAGTAGTAGTAGTAGTAGTAGTAAGTGTATTATGAAGTGCTGAGTTTTATGGAAATTTAAAACTCACCTCTCAGGGTCCTTCTAAGGCAGGTAAGTAAACATACTCTTTGAAGATATAACACGCAAGATATTCAAGATCTCTTGTATCTGTTCACTGAAGAAGTTGAGGAATAAATTTATGGTGAAATTTATGTTAAGAGCGCACAGCTCTTTGCAGAATACTGTAAATTCATTTCAAAACTCTTCCCTCATTTTGATGATGTTTCAGCATCTCCAGGCAATTAAATTAAACTCTTCATAGTGCAAAGACATCTCAAGCTTCACTGGCATTTTAATCCATCTCTCAAGCTCCTGTTAATCACATGAAGCCCTGTGAGACGATATGAAGAGCTCCCAACACACTTCTCCCTTTTATCCAAGTTAGACATGCAAACAGAGATTGGAGCTAAAACTATCTATATTGCTTCCAGATATAGATAATCAGAAGTAATATATCTTCCACATCCATTTGATCAGGGGAAACACCAGCCACCCAAGTGTTCAAAGACTAAGTGCTGTCAATATTCCTACAGAAGACCTCACACACTGCAGTTCCAACATACTGATAAAGTGGTAGAAACATTGAACACAAATTTCCCGGCACTTAGAATCTAGGCATGGAAGAGCCTCTGGTGATTACTGATAGAGGATCCTTGGGTGGTAGCTTACAAAAACCTACAACACTATTGAGCCGTAAAGATTTTCATTATCCTAACACTGACATCAAAACCAGGGGCAGTTTCAACTCAGCTTACTGAGCAGATCCTTGTTAAAGGATGGAGAGGGAGAGAGAAAGAGTAAGAGAGAGACAAACCTTTGCAGTACAACAGATTAGATCAGCTCAAATGCACTTCTGCACATCCATCACACTGTTGTACCCAGAAACACTCTGGAATGCTTCAGAATTAGTCCTAACATGAAGGACTGTTGATTGCCTGCTATGTGCTATGCTTTCTGACAGATCTACCTGTAAAAAAGAAAATTATGCAAAGATATTGTGAAGCACTTAATACAGCCTAAATACTGTCTAACCAAATGCCTTATTTAACTTTTATTACTTACTAAGAAGAAATTAATGATAATGATTTTCTAAGGAAATGTAGAATATGTATCAATGCAATATTTCAGAACAAGTTAGACAAACCTGTCCCAGAAACGAGTTAGTGACAAGAGATGAACTAAAATTTGTCATTCTGGTTTTCTAGTCTTGTGTTTTTATTATTCTATGTATCAACACTCCTCTGAACTCTACCACAAGCACTGGGACAGATATGTGAGATTGTGTAAGCTCTTTTGGGATGTAACAAATAGAATCATAGAATCATTAGGTTCGAAGAGACCTTCAAGGTCACCCAGTCCAACTGTCCACCCAGTACAACCACTGTAAACACTAAATCACATCACTCAGCACCAGATCCAGCGGCCCCTTGGACACCTCCAGGGATGGTGATTCCACCACCTCCCTGGGCAACCTCTTCCAATGCCTGAGCACCCTAACAGTGAAAAATGTTCTTACATGTAATCTGATTTTCCCCCGTCTCATCTTAGCTACTTTTCTTCTTCTCTCACTTCTGGCATGGCAGAAGAGACTGCCCCACCTCATTACAATCCTTTTTCAATAGAGAGTGAAGAGGTCCACCCTGAGCCCCCTCTTCTCCAGACTAAACCCAGATCTCTCAAACACTTTTCCTAAAACACATTTTCTACATCTTTCATGAGGGCCCTTCTCTGGACAAATGTTTTATCTTATTTCTATGAATATTTGCTTCTGTGTTGGATTCTACTTCTCCTAGGCAAAATCTGGTATGCAAGAGAAAGGTAAAAAGTAGGAAAAAAGAATATTGAATAGATCCTGCCCCCAAATAACACAAAATCACACATTGTAATCAATTTCTAAATTATATTGTCATAACAACTCTGTCAGAATAAACATTATAGTAGAATATTTTAGATACAGTTTTCTGGAGCATTGCTGAAAAACCACTGGATTCCAGACCAAAATCCCTTTCAGTTCTGGGATATTTAGCTGGTTTCTGGGGTATCCCTTAATCTGGATTATTTCATACCAGTCATTTACCATGAAATGATCTTCAATGTAAAAAAAAAATAAATCTGACACTTTAGCCTGAAGTGTTCCACTTGTAACAACAACATAAGAAATATCTTGCCAAGTCATTAGTACTTTCAGCATAGTTTTCTGTTACCAACAGAGCAATAGAAGATGCTGCCCACAGCTTTCATTTCCCTTGCTTTCACTCAGTGTCCATAATTTGTTTATGAGGAATGCTGAGCATACACCCAGAAGTAGCCATTTATTTTTCTTGTTCACCAATTTTTCTAAGCCCCTTTTTGAATCTGCAGGTTCTGTTTTCCAAATTCTCTGTGGATGAAATTTCAAGTAAGAAATAAGTACTTACACCTGTTTTAAATCTACTTCCTTTTTCTTTCATTAAGTGTTCCTAGTGTTTGCATTATTGGATTTGTAATTCAGGTTATTTTTGCCTTTACAATTTTGTAAACTTTGAACCCTTGAGTATTGAAATGAGAAAGAGCTGAATGCAATCAGAAACTTAAAATCACTGTCTAAAATCTATATTCAAATTTCTGAACTACGATAAATAATCAAGTGATACAAAGCCCACACAACAAGAGCAATAATGAGTTTTCCAGTGCTGAATGAATATTATTTGGTGTTGTGTTTGAAAAGAAACATTTATAGGATGCATCTGTTTTCTTGTATTGGATAGAGTTTGATAGACTTTTTAAAGTTGCTTAATCACATATTGAACCTCCTTATACTTCTGGTCTCCATAGCTCTTGACAATAAAGTGAGCTGAAACTTAATTTTTCTCTGTGTGGAAATGTACTTCCATTGGCCTGATAACTTTATTGGATGTCCCTATTTCCTGGGCATTGAAAGTGAGTGAATAATTGTTCCTTAATCCATTTTTTCATAGCCTACACAATGCTGAGCAACACTACCACATCTGTCTCCTGCTGTCTGTTTTGCAGGCTGAAAAGTCCTAATTTATTAAGTATTTCTTAATATGAAAACTGTTCCATTTCTTTGATCATGCTTGTCATCTTTCTTTTTTCTTTCACAGGCTGTATCTTTCTGAGGTAGGATGATTAGAACAGCATGAAGCACTCAAGATATGCATGTACCATGGATTTATGCAACATAATCAGATATTGTATTCCTCTGCTAATAATACTCAATATTCTTCCTCTCTTTTTCATTGCTATTGACATGAATCTGATATTTTTATAGAACAGCTTATAGTAATGTAAGATGCTTTTACTGAGTAGAATTAGATGATTTATCTGACAGGGTAGAGGTAGCAGTTATCTTCCTGCTTATTTGCATTGTTTTCAAACTACTGAAACTATTCACTTCCTGCCTTACTGAATAACCATTACCACAAAACAAATTTGTGCAATGATTTGCAGGCAATGTTTATTTTTTTAATTTTGTTTTGACTCACTAGCAATATTTTCCATTTCACCATTTTTTCTCCTTCTAGTATGAATGTTTGCATGACAGCATTTCTAAAAGAGACAATAATGTATCTTCATTGGTAACCTGTTGAAAACGTCTTGCCTCAACTCATTATTTTATGATAATCTTTATTTAAACATCTTCTGTATAGCAATGTGGAAAATAATGAAAAGACATTAATAAATATTTTAAATATTAGAATGACATAATAAAATTGAATGAAAGCTTAGTAATAAAGGACTTACCACATGAGGAAAAAGGTGACCTGGAATACATACATATAATGAGATGATAATAAGTCATTATATTTGCTTTTAAAAATTAGCTTTAAAGAAAGGAATCACAAACCACTTACATACTCTGTGAGTTTGATTAAAAAAATTAAATTTTGAATTTCACTGACAGATGCATGAAGTTGTGGAGCAGAAAAGTGGCAGTATATGTTTTCAAAACGTATCTCACTAATCCAATTCCCTGCTCAAAGCATCATCAGGTAAATATATCCCAGTTTTTCCCACTTTGTCCATGTCTTAAAAATTGAAAGAAAAAAATGCCTACATTATTTGGAAATCAGCTTCAACATTAAATATTGAATTTTTCCCCCAATAGCCTGTCTTAACCACTCTCAATTTGACTTACACCTGTTCTCCTTTCATGCACCAAGGTGAAAAGCCTTTATATGACCAATGACATCCCCATAGGTGCTGTGAGGCTGCTCTTAGATACTTCCAAAGTTATCTCCTCTCCACATTGAGCAAACCTGTCTCCTTCAGCCCCTGCTGGTCAAGTTTATCAAGATGAAAAGTTCCCTCGTTTTACCAATCTTTTAATACCTCAACGATTTTAGTTTGGCTATATAATAATTACTATAATGGATCAAAGATTTGTATAATAGAATTCTATGTGACTCATAGAAATATTAGTAAAGCATTTCAGATATACTGTGATTATTAGCAACAATTTCTAGCAGGGAACCTAATTTCTAGGAAAACTTTCCTAAAAGATAATATGACAGCTGGCACAATTCTTAAAGTATTTTTTTTGGTGCATTTGTTAATGTAATGTATGTAATTGATTTCCACTGAATTTACTAACATGAATAACCTAACAACTTTAAAGTAGTTCTAACATTTCCATATAACATAAGCAGCATTTATTATGTGAGTATACACACTCACACACGTGTGTATATGTGAGTACATATGGCATCATATGGGACCCTTTCAACTCAGCATATTCTGTGACTCTGTGATTTGATATAGAGACATGACTAGTTACTTTGAATTGGTGTATGGAATCACTCTCATTCACAATCTGCACACAAATATAAAAAGTAGAGTATTTTCAAACTTTCATAGAATTTGTAATTCAGAGTGCAAACATTTTTTTGCTTGCATAAGGAGTATTTCCGAAGATTTCTTGTTTACAAAAAATAAGGTGCCCCAAATTGGATTTAGTCAAATATAGCAGCAGCTTGTCAGTAATTTGTGGCCAAAGCACAATTTTCATGAAACGTAAGTTCTTCTTTAATGTAATTTTCATGAAACCGTCCTTCAGGATGTGTGCAGCCTTCAGGTCAGTAAGACACAGATTCAGAAGACCTTATTCTCTAAGGAAAAAATGTCTATTTGTATTCTTTTTTGAAATCATACACGCAAGGAGTCATCAAACCTACTGTTTCCTTCAGTACATCATTAATTTATGTAGGCTTGGAAAATGCACTTTGGTCCTAATTTAAATTTATGGTGTTCAACAAATTGTTTATTCTGATTGGTTCTTTAACAGAAAAGTTTAGGGTTGAAATGAAGTTGTCTGATTATTACTTTATTAAAGTAATGAAATATATTGAAATACTCTCAGGGTATTTCAGATGCTGAAATTAAAGTTCCAGTTATCTACCACAGGTAAAACTTTCAAGAAAAATGTTGAATAGGCAGTTTCTGAAAGACATCTGTTATGAAGGTATTTGCTTATTTATTTTTGTCTCAAACTTTAAGTCATTGCTGTTTCTTTTGTAGGTGGAAGTAATGACAACACTGAAACAGCTTTGAGAGACTATTCTCTGATTCAGTGAACTGAAAATTACACAACCTCTCTTGAGGTTCTGTTTAAATTTTTGAAGTGGTTATACAAAATCTTCAAAGATGTTTGCATTCAAATAAGACAGAGCAGAAAATAAACTGGGGACAAATCTAGCTTACCTTATCCATTTAGGTTTTCCTATGGATGTTAATGACGCTATTTAACATGAAAAATATATGAAAATAAATTTTATTATATTACATTTGTAGCAGCAACAGATAAGATGCTTTCAATCCATGAAAGAAATAATTTTTAATAGTGTTGTTATAAAATCTGTTATTGTGTAGTACTTTCTTTAATAGTCTTTATGTGAATGATTTTTAGGTTTCATAGTCTTTTTCTATGTTGGGAGAGTGACCCAGAATATAAGTTTCTAAAGAGGTTTT